GGAGATAGATTCAGATGGAGTAAATGGATCTAACTTGGGTAAATCTGATGATAAAGACTTGAGTTTGGAAGAAAACAAATTAAAAACTGCATCTGCTATAAACTTTGATGGAAGAGTTCCAGAGGTTGCCAGATTGGAAGCTCAGATCACTGATATGTTGGAAATACCCTCAGATGAATCCAGTACAAACTTGGACAAATCTGATGAAAAAGATTTGACTTTGGAGGAATCTGCTGCAAACTGGGATGGAGGAGGCTCAGAGGTTGCCAGATTGGAGGCACAAATTCCTCTTTCTCTTACTCCGGGACAAAAGCTCATGTCCCAGCTGTTGATCCATGATGCTGCTCAGAAAGAGAAGGCGTTTTTTCAAAGAGCAGTTTGAATGCGGAGTCTGCTTTGAGAGTTGGCTCGGCTCGGAGTGCGTTCAGATCATCGAATGTGGCCATGTTTTTTGTCGTCGTTGTCTCGCAGACTTTTGTAAATTTCAAATCCAAAATGGAAAAGGAAAAGTGACAGATGTGACGTGTGCGCAGACCGACTGCAAAGCTACCCCCACACCGGCACAGGTTAGTGCTGTCACCATACTCACATTTTAAACTCCATTTCAAACTAACGAAAAGTCAAAATACTAATTTTGATACCACAATGTTCAAGAAATGTCAAATTCTGTCATGCTTATGGGAAATTTTTCAGTTTTGATGCATGCTTGTCTCCATGGAGATGTTACTGCTTTGTCTAGAATGTAAAACTGACTCTCACAGAATCAATTTTATTATTTTCTCAGGGTTTGTATGAGTCCAGTCTGTTCTAGAGTTAATTTAACATTTTAGGAAATGTTAACTTAGTAAGACTGGCCCAAAGTTCCTGTTTAACCCCGAAATCAAGAGTTATATTAATATTTTGAGAGTAAACAGATAACACTTTATAGGGTTATACTAAGTTAGCTAAACAACACACAGAGGTGTTTTTATTTTTATACTTTATTTTAGCTAATTTAAGATGAAATTTTGAACAAAACTGGTTCAAACTTTTTTTTTTTTTTTCACAGGAGTTTGAAGTGGTGGGTGGGAGGAGCCAAATTAACACTAAGGGAAAATTTATGGATTAAAGGGACAGTCCAGAATTTTGGACATACGACCTCATTTCCTAGTGAGCCAGAGTGTTGGAGACGTGTGGAGACACTTTTTGAAATATTCCATCCAGTCCTTGTATTTGCAGAGGTCGCTGGTGCTAGACTAGTGCATGTCAATGGTCATAGTTCTCCTGCCACTAAAAACAGTTTTACCCACTGCACAAAACACTCGACTGTCCATGTGAATGTCTGTGTTGATAGAATAATTTTAGAAGTAAAACCAACCTTGTATTTGAAGGATTTCTGTCTGAGCAGCAGCAGTGAGTTGTACTTCCTGATAGAAAGCTTGGCAGCGGCGGACTGATATCACCAAGCACCTATCTTACTGGCAAAGTAAAATACCACTGCTGCTGAGAAAATAGTTCCTCAACATGCAACAATTCATGCGATTCAAGGTTAGTTTTATTTCAAACATTATTCTATCAACACAGACATTTACATGGACAGTCTGGTGTAATAATAGATTTGTTTGGGGTGTTTTGTGGAGTGGGTAGAGGAGTGGCAGAAACAGAGAACTATGGCCATTGACATGCACTAGTCTAACAGTGACCTCTGCAAATACAAGGACTGGATGGAATATTTTAAAAAGTGTCTCCACACGTCTCCAACACTCTGGACTTCATTACCTAGTGAGCCAATGTCCAAAATTCCAGACTGTCTGCCTGTTTAACACTAGGGGAAGTTGACTTAACTTCAACCATATCAACTCTGGCAAGTAACCCCAACTCCAACCCCCATTTAACTTTCAAATAGTTAAATTAACACTTTTTGTGTTATAAACAAACACATTTTACCCTGAAATTTTAACCTTTCAGTTTTTAGTCCAGTGAGGTTCATTTGGTCTTTTTTCAGAACAAGAGTTTGTTTTCATCCCTGATGGTTTGGACTGCTCCTTGCGCTCTTCCTCAGAATGGTCACGTGATTTGGCTGTGGTTTCATACTATGCCCTTTTACGGAGGAATAGTACAGAACCAATAAGAAAAAAAAAAGCACCTCCACGACATCAGCACATAGTCAAAACACAGTACAGATGACTAGACTTGCAACCAGGGAGGGTAGGGAATTTGAGTTGACCTAACGTAGGCAAGCAGCCATCCGGATCCTGCAGCCACGTGGCGCTGGATACAACAGACTCGCCCACCATGCTGTTGGGTCAAAGCTGCGAAGGCATAAACATTCTAGACAAAGCAAAAATATCTCCACAGAGACAAGCAGATGACAGACCCTCCACCAGAAAGGTTTACAGTGCACCTTTAATCATAATAAATTGTAATAACTCCTTATATTTGTAATGCTCTTTACAGTCAAAGCCTCTCAGAAGGTCCATCCACAGGCCTTGATGTTGGGGAACCACTGCTCCACCAATGCGCCACTGTCGTCTCTAATTTATTTTCATTTTTTTAGGTGAGAAGTCTTGTCGGTGAAGAGCTGTTCAGCCGCTACGACCGCCTCCTGCTTCAGTCCACTCTCGAATCTATGCCTGGTAAAATACTCAAAATTTTGCATATCTAAAAAAAAAATCATTTCGATATCCAAATCCAAATCCACTTTATTTTTATAGCACATTTTACAAATAAAACCAAAGTGCTGCACAGAGATCATAAAATGAAGACAACCAAAATGTAAATTGCTAAAATGTGGTTGTACTAGTCCTCAAACAATAAAACCTGTCAAATAAAAGCAAAACCATAAAAATCATAAAATAGCAGTAAATAAGTCAAATAAATAAAAGCCAGAGAATAAAAGTGGGTCTTAAGACAAGACTTAAAACTCTCCACTGTGGGGGCTGTTGGGACATGGGGAGGGCAGAGTGTTCCAGGGTTTGGGGCTGAACACAGAGAAGGTCCTGTCTCCCCTGATTTTAAGTCTCGTTTTAGGCCCCACGAGGTGGAGCTGGCCCTCAGACCTCAGAGCGCGCAGTGGAGTAAATTTGAATGAGGTCTGAGATGTTGACACAGGGCCAGTCCATTCAAAGCTTTAAAAACAAACAATGAAATCTTAAAATCAATTATTATCCTTGTTCCTTTGTACCTCCCTCCTCTTGACTCTCTTCTGCTGTGTGTGTGTTTGTGTCAGATGTGGTGTACTGCCCCCGGCCCTCCTGTGCCTCTCCTGTCCTCTCAGACTCCAACTCCATGGCCCAGTGCTCCGTCTGCAGCTTCGCCTTCTGTGTCCTCTGTAACAAAACCTACCACGGCTCTGAGCCCTGCTACACCCCCACCCCCGAAGACGAGAGGCAACAGAGGCCCCACGACGACTATGCGCAGATCCCAAAGACAAAAGGTGACTTCTGCTCTTTCGTACACACAAAGTAAACATGTATATACATTTAAAATTCATTTCAAATCTAAATTGTAGTGTATTTTAAAGATACAATATTATGCAGAATGAACTCTTGTGAGCTTTAAACCATGTTCGAATGTTGTTTCCTTCTCAAAATCAGACCTGGAGTTGTGTTTTGTTTTATTTACACATGTTTGAGCAACTTTTTATTATACACACATCCCGAATTTCAGACTTCAGGTCATTGTGCAATGCATACTGGGAAGGGCCGACCGAAAAAGTGAGCATCAAACCACCATGTTTGATTTCCCAGTGGGATGCGTCTATTGTCAAAGCCGATCTTTTCAAGGCTTTTGAATCATATCATAATCAGACATCATAATCGTGTGGTTGTTGGATGTCCTAACAGCGGAAAACAGCTGGAGAAATGGGCTTTGAAAGTTTGTGAACTCCATAAATGCAAAAGGGAATCAGATGTGTGTGACTGCAAACCTCCGTTCAAACTGTTTCCCTTCCCAACGGAATTGAAAAATAGTGAAAAGCGAAAGCGATGGCCAGGACTGATACACTGGAAAGACAAAAAAGGAAACCTTTGGCTGCCTAAGAAATCATCCAGAGTTTGCAGAGAACATGTACAGTGAGGAAAAGAAGTATTTGAACACCCTGCTTTTTTTGCAAGTTCTCCCACTTGTTCTACCCAATCATGGAGGGGTCTGAAATTTTCATCATACGTGCATGTCCACTGTGAGAGACATAATCTACAGTCCCTGACAAAAGTCTTGTCGCTTATCCATTTTGTAGAAACAAAAGCTTATAACCTGACTTTAAATTAATCGATTGGTTTTAGAAATGTCTCATATGAAGCTAAAACCCTCCCAAATTATGCTCAATAAACTAAAATAAATTTGCTTCACTGAAGAAAGATTGATCATTTAATGAACACAGAAAGGTCAGATTTTGGCAAGACAAAAGTTTTGTCGCCTACAGAAAATTGAACAAATAATTTACTTCAAATACAAAAATATGTTGCATAACGTCAGTGAATGAAGTAGTGGTGCTGTGAGATCCAGATTTAATATCTTGTATGACTTCCATGAGCTTGAAGGACGCATCCATGCGGTTCGACAATGATTCATACAATTTGTTGATGAAGTCATCAGGAATAGCAAAGAAAGCAGTTTTACAAGTTTTTACATTCCCGGAGTTCCTCAAGATTCTTTGGTTTTGCCTTCCATGCTTCCTCTTTCATTCTACCCCAGACCTGCTCCATGATGTTCATGTCTGGTGACTGGGCTGGCCAGTCCTGGACCACCTTCATCTTCTTCGCCTTGAGAAACTTTGATGTAGAGATAGAAGTATGTGATGGAGCACCATCCTGCTGCAAAATTTGAGCCCTTTTATGGTTGGGAATGTAAGAGGAGCTAATACTTCTTGATATTTTAGGCTATTGATATTTGCCTTCCACCCTGCAAATGTCTCGTACACCCCCATACTGGATATAACCCCAGACCATGATTTTTCTGCCACCAAACTTGACTGTTTTCTGGGTGAATCTTGGATCCATGCGGGCTCCAGTAGGTCTCCTGCAATATTTGTGTCGGCTGTGATGTAATTCAACCAAGGATTCATCTGAGAAATCCACCTTCTGCCACTTTTCCAGTGTCCATCCTTTTAGCAGGCTGTGGACCTTGGCAAATGCCACACGGTTTTTAATTGCCTTTTGTTTAGTGCTGGTTTCTGTGCACTGATTCGACCATGGAGGCCATTTCAAGACAGAATTCTACAAACTGTTGTGGTTGACACAGGGACTTGAGGTGACCAGGCCTGGTGGAGTCTGCTGCAGTGGAAAAGGGGCCTTGGATTTTCAAATCAACAAACGGTCCTCCCAAGCAGTTGTCTTGCGGGGTCTGCCGGACCTGGGCTTGTCAAAAACATCTTCAGTCATTTCAGATCTTTTTCTTATTCTTTGTACTTGACACTGAGACACATTGAAGGTGTCACCACCTCAGCAGTGGATCTGGTCTTCAGCCTCTTGATAATTAATGCTTTGGTCTCAGGGTGGATCTTAGGCATGTTGTCAGAGGTCAAGTTGCAGTTGATGTGAAGGTCTGGTGTGCTGGGTTCTTTTTATACACACCCATTAATTGATTGATCAGTAACTGATCACAGGTGAGGCTGTAATCTAGGATTGGGTGCATCATATGACAAGGCCACAAGACTTTTGTCTTGCCAAAATCTGACCTTTCTGTGTTCATTAAATGATCAATCTTTCTTCAGTGAAGCAAATTTATTTTAGTTATATTGAGCATAATTTGGGAGGGTTTTAGCTTTTCATATGAGACATTTCTAAAACCAATCGATGAATTTAAAGTCAGGTTATAAGCTTTTGTGATCTACAAAATGGATAAGTGACAAGACTTTTGTCAGGGACTGTAAAAAGAAAAATCCAGAAATCACAATGTATGAATTCTTAACTATTTATTTGTATGATACAGCTGCAAGTAAGTATTTGAACACCTGTCTATCAGCTAGAATTCAGTGTGTGCACACCTGGTGAAAAACTACAGGAAACGTTTGACCTCTGTAATTGCAAACAAAGGCTACTGTACCAAATATTAACACTGATTTTCTCAGGTGTTCAATACTTGTTTGCAGCTGTATCATACAAATAAATAGTTTTTAAAAATCATACATTGTGATTTCTGGATTTTTTTTTTCAGATTATGTCTCTCACAGTGGACATGCACCGACGAAAATTTCAGACCCCTCCATGATTTCTAAGTGGGAGAACTTGCAAACTAGCAGGGTGTTCAAATACTTATTTTCCTCACTGTATGTGCAGTGCCAACAAAACAAAATCCCGATCCCTCGCTCAACCTTGATTACGAATTTAAAAAGTCAACGCCAAGTGAAAGGCACCAGCTGTTCGCCAAGAAACACCTTCCACTGCAAAGCGACCAAGACGTAATGTTGCTGTAAAACCACAAGAACAAGAAAGTGCAAGCTCGGCATGTTTGTCTTCTGTACCTCTCGCTTAACAAATGGGATTTTGCTATGTTGGTGCTCCATATACAAAATGTTCACTGCAAACTTGGGATAATTTCTTAGGTAGCCAAAGGTTACCTTTTTTGTCCTTCCTCTGTATCTGCGTTCTCTTCTTTGAGACAAGAACCTATCCTAAATATGCAGGGTTTGTGTGTTAAATATGTGAAACAAAACATAACTCTTGGTATGTTTCTGATGAGGAAACTACATTATAACAGATCAGAAAATATACATAGTGCACTTTGTGTGTGTGTTGTGTGCAGAGGGCAGGATGGCTCTGTGGGAGGATTACTCCACTGGGTACAAAGCGAGCGGCAGCTCCTGAAGCAGAGGTTCGGCAAACAGGCATTTCTGGGGTTCCTGGAGAACTGGCTGAGCTCAGACTGGATCAGGGAAAACACCAAGAACTGCCCCCACTGCTTCTCCCACATCCAGGTCAGAACCACACACACAGCACCAAGAACTGCCCCCACTGCTTCAGCCATATATAGAAAAAACAGATAAAGACATACCGGTCAAAAGTTTTAGAACATTTTAGAATTTTTTTTCCCAGTTTTTTTTTATTGAAAATGATTCAGTTTATTGTGTCATTGCACTCTGAAATGAAAGCATAGAACAAATAAGCAATTTGAGTTGAAAAAGAAATCATGGAATCAGTTTATAGACGAAAATGTATTCTAAGAACATTTGACTCATCAAAGTGTCCACCTTTGGCAGATATAACAGCTGAACACACTTGTGACTCATTCTTTCTACAAGAGAAGTCAAATATTTTTCAAAAAGTTCTTCCCAAGTCTATTGCAGAAGTTCCATAAATGTGTGGCACTTGTAAGTTGCTTCACTCTTCTGTCCAGTTCATCCCAAACCAGCTCGATGGGGTTTAAGTCTGGACACTCCATGTTGTCAAGCTTTATCATTTTGTTCTTTTTTCCTGAGGTGTTTTGGGTCAATATCTTGCTGTAAGCTGAACCTCTGTCCCACCAGGCATTATACCAGAGGGTACTGCATGTGGTTGCTGTTTTGGTTCAGTGTGCCACTAACTCTGTACAAGTCACAGACCCTAGATCCAGTAAAACAGCCCCAGACCATCACACTTCCTCCTCCATGTTTGACAGTCGATGTCACACACTGTGGATCCATCCTCTCACCTACTCAAAGGTCCTGTGTGATGAACCAAAGATTTTAAATTTTGATTTGTCAGTCCATAACACCTTCAATAGTCTTCAGTAGTCCAATGGTGGTGTTTTGTGGCCCAGGAGGGTCTCTTTGTCATATTTCGATGTCTTGGCAGTGGCTTTCTTGCTGCAACTCTTCCTGTCAAACTTGCAGCTTGAAGTCTTCTCTTCACAGTTGAAACTGAACCTTGCTTACTTCGACCACTCTTAAGCTGTGTTTGAAACTGTTGTCCTGTGAGCTGCCTATCATGCAAGCAGTTAACTCTCAGAAACTTGTCCTCTGATTGAGTTGTGGCTTTGGGTCTGCTAGAGTGCTTCCTGTCAGAGTTTCCCCTATAGTGCCTTTTGAAAATTGTACTCACTGACACCTTGACTTTCTTTGCATTTTCCCGTACGAAAGACTTACATTTTTAAGTGTTATGATGGTCTGTCTCTCTTCCATTGTTAATCACCTTTTTCTTGCCATTTTTGTAGCAACACACTACTTTGTGCAGTACAATACTGTAGACCTGATGCTCATGAGGGTCTGGTACAACAGTGTGTTTTAACACTGCTTTTATGCACACAGAGGGGGATGGAAGTGATCAAGAAAGGTTGGAACATCTGTAGGAAATAGTAGCACCAGCTTTCAAGGCTGATTAAGCTTGGGGCTCAGTTGGTAGAGCATTCGCCCACTGATCTAAAGGTTGGCGGTTCGAATCCAGCTCTCAATATAAACATCACAGGTTGAGCGGTCAGATCCACTGACCCACAGGTTGGCTGGTGTGATTTCAGCTCCCACAGATGAATGCTGTCGTTGTGTCCTTGGGCAAGACACTTAACCCACCTTGCCCACAGTGTTTGCGTACACTGGTGTGTGAATGTGTGTGTGAATGGGTGAATGGGTGAGTGGTTCTTTGTTGTAAAGCGCTTTGAGTGCCTTGAAGGTGGAAAAGCGCTGTAGAAAAATGTGACCATTAACCATTTTAAAGCTCTTCATTGGACTTGCACGACTTGAATTGCAATAAATAACAGGAAAAATGAGGGTGTTCTAAAACTTTTGACCAGTAGTGCAGATAAGAGACAGATAAAGAGAGATGAATAGATAGATTAGATAGACAAACAAAACACATTCACTTCACTTGATATAATATAGATATTTTTTTATGATTTTCAGAAAATTGAAGGATGTAACCGTATGACCTGCACCCGTTGCCACCGTATGTTTTGCTGGAGATGTTTGAGCAAATCACCCACTTCTGACCACTTCAAATTCTCCTGCCCTTTATTCCCATGGCTCCCAAGACCAGTGTCCTATCTCACTCCCACCACCCCCCTTTAACACCACCGGGGTGCCTTTCACAATTATACATTCATTTACTTGGACATTGTCAATTATATCTAATGCACTTTCTTGTTTAAATTAAGTTTATACCAAAATTAGCCTACAGAAACATTCTTTAAGTGTACTGGTGGTTTTCAGATTCATAAATGTGATGGTTTCAGACAGGCCTGTCAACAGAAATTTGGGGGCCTTGAGCAAGAAGCCTCACATGGGCCCCCTACTAATCTAAATGAATTTATTTTATTTTTATTTATTTCACTTTTAGTTTATAAAATATGCTATACAAATAAAGACTTATTTTCTCCCAACAGTTACCGGATATTTTAATTACAGTCCCCACAAGTTCAATAAATATTCCTACTTTTACTACTACTCAGAGGTGGGGACTTGCAAGACGTGACTTGGACTCGAGTCAAACTTGAGTCACTATTTTTAGGACTTGAGACTTGACTTGATAAAATGGACTAAGACTTGGGACTCGTCTTGAAGGTCATTGACGTGGGATTTTGGACTTGAAGCCTGTGACTTGACAAGACTTGATGTTTCTCCTAAAAATATATGTTTTTAGAAAATACTTTTCTCTTTACATTTGATAAATGCGGTGCTGAATTTTACAGGAATATTAGATTATAATAATTCAATATTAATTATACAGTACAATACAGTAATATACAGTACAACACAGTCATATACAATACAGTAAAACATAGTACACTGCAGTAACATACAGTACAATAGAGTAATATACAGTACAATACACAGTAATACACAGTACAACACAGTAATACTCAGTACAGTGCAGTAACATACAGTACAATACAGTAATATACAGTACAATGCCGTAACATAAAGTACTATACGATAATATCTGTATTATCTTACAGTACAGGCCTACAAAAACAATAATATACAGTACAATACAGTACAAATATAGTAATATACAGTACTACATAGAATTACATAGAACATGATCCTTCCATTTCAGTGCAGACTACCTGACAAAATAATTGTTATTTAGCACTTTTAAATCTGAATTCTTGCTGTTCTGACCCTAATGATTCACACTCAGATCTTGAAAGACTTTTAAAAAGGAAAAAATTCCATTTATACAGTTCTTCTATAAATACTCATATATAAATACACCATGAACTTTTAAGTACAATTTAGCTTAAAAATCTGAAGATTGAAATGACTTGAAGCTCAAAGCAGACGACTTGAACTTGACTTGGACTTATGAGCCAGTGACTCGAGACTCAACTTGGACTTGCCTGTATTTGACTTGGGACTTGACTTGCACCAACAAAAGTCTATACTGAGCCACGAGTGAGTCAAGAATGGACAACGTTATGCTCTATTTTTACAATTTTATTTATACCAACACCCCAACCTGGTGTGTCCCAGTTTTGAATTTTTTGGTCACCCTATATTACTGCTAGACTCATGCTAGGCCCCCACTGCATTTAATGTTTTGTTTCTTGTGTCATAAATAAATAAAACCTACAAACATCTTAGGTATGCCATGGAATGTTTCACAGTATGACTGTAGCAGCCAAAATGCACCTCCGGCCACTGTGTGGCGCTGTGTCTTTGTTTTCTGTGAGTTGCTGCTGATTGAAGACCTCTAGTTAGACAATACAGGTGTTGCAGATTGATGAGGAGCAGTCTTTTGACCGTGTTCACAGCTCATGCTAAACTAAAGGAATATTTGAGCTTTTACTGGAGTTTTGGGCTCATTTCTATGGAAACACGCGTCAGAAATACCTTTTAAAATTTGCATCCTCGTGGCTGCCCCTGTATTAGTCAAAAGACTCCTCAGAAGACAACAAGCTGAAGTGGATTGACTGGCACCACTCACCACACTGCAGTCTGGCTCTGAGAGCTGCGTTTGGTTGCTACAGGAAAGGCAGCAAAGTGGCATTGGTTTGGACGAGGACAGAGATGGGAGCATGTGCAGAGGTGGCTGTGGTGAAGGACACTGCACAGACTGACCGTGTAGAAAGTTTGGACACAGATCTATGCTACGGACTTCAGCTGATTGAGATGGACACTAACGTAAGGGAATGAAGTAAAGGAGGGTAATTTTCTTCAATCAGTGTACAGTAGAATTTGCTTACAAAAGATTTGTTCAGCTTTATTGAACTTTCACTGAACTAATTTTACTTTGTAAAAAGCAGTTATTTAGTCATGAAAAGTTTAAATTCTTCTATTGCTGCTGCTCGTTTACAAGTTGAGGCTGAAAAGGCAGTGCTTCTGGTCAGACTGCCTTTATTGAAAGAGAAACATGCCATAGATGTCAGCACTGCTGCCTCTGTTTTACTGGCTCTTCGAACTCGTCCATTGTGTGACTGACTCCGCCAACGTGAACATGACGTTTACATCGCTCCTACTGCCGTGTTCTGTGTGGGTTTCCGGCAATGAGTGGAATTAATAAATAAATAAAATATAAATAAATGGGATGTAGCACAGAATGTGAAAACAGGAAAATACCGCCTTGTAATCCACTTATTTCAGCAAAGTAACTGTAATCCAATTACCACTCATTGAAACAGTAACTGTAACTGAATACAGTTACTCATAATTTGTACTCTGATTACTTAACGCCGGTACATGTAATCTGTTACTCCTCAACACTGCCTGTAATGGACTTTATTCCACCCACTGCTGATCACTTCTCTGATGTATCATCTCCATGTGAAGAGAAACAAACTGACACTTCAGACTCCGAGTGAGTGGGTGAGTTATAGTTCCTTATTTATTGTTAGTGACTTGGTTGGTTAGTCAGTTGGTGGTTGGTTACTTACTTAGTTACTTAATTAGTTAGTTCGTTACTTCATTACTTGTTTGGTTAGTTACTTATGGTTCCTTAGTTATAGTTACTTAGTTACTTGGTTAGTGTGTGAGTAAGTTAGTTTTCATTTTGAAGTAGTCTCTGTTGTGGTGATGGTGTACGGACGTCTTTCTCATTTCTATCAGATTGTTGTTACTATAGTTGTGTGTGTGTTTTTATTCTGATTCTTTGCAGTCTGTGGTTGTTACTGGTTTTATTGGACTCTTACATCACAAACATGAGTCAGCTGGAGCGCGCGCGTCACGGGAGGAGCGCCTCTACTGCCCCACAACCTGAGCGCACAGGACAAACACTCACGCCGGCTTTTTATGCACAAGTGAGGCTCATGCGGAACAGTTGAACCATTTGAAGCAAGTTTTTGTCACGTTATGAGCTCAGATTTGGATGAACAACAAGATGAAATCCTCGCTCTTGTCAGCATATTCGATCCGGAGGAGTTTGTCCGGAATGAGTCGAAGTCTTCCGGGGAGTTCCGAGTGTGCGTGGAGCTCCCGGCGCACTTCACTGTCGTACTAAAACAAGGTAAAAGAATAAACTAATTCAGCTATTGTTATCTTTTAAGCACTAGTTTTGCCTAAAAAGTGTATGTCATGTTTATGTTGCGGCGTTCAATCTTTGTGCGTAACTTAAACAGTAACTTAAATAAATTACACATCCACGTTACGACGCTTTTGAACTCTCTTCCTGGTGCACGCGCACGTCCCAAGTCAGGTGGTACCCAGACAGCCGTACTGCCGTTGTCATGGTAACGGTGAAGCTGTCACTGGCTGACACATCAGGACATTAAAGGGACACTATGCAACTTTTTTCTGCTCGCATTACTTTGTCTGGAATTCATTCTCTTTTTTTTAAGTCGAACAAGAGCTTGTGAAAATCTGCTTTCTTCTACATTCTTATTTTACTGTGTGAGGAGTCGCTTCGCCACAGATCTGACTTGTAACAGACCTGATTGGCATTAACGGTTTGTCTTCATGGAAAAAGAGAAGTTTAATGCCATATTTTGGAACATTATATCGAGGATGTAATGACATCTCCATGGAGACAAGCACAAACATGACTCGTGCTGTCTGCAGTATCAGGTATAAGTATAATGAATGTGTTGTAATAATAAGCCTCTGTTTGTGGATTTCAGTCACATGACTTTCTAATTTAAGGACATTTTTAATCATTCTGAGATTCACATGACAATATTCTTCAGACCAATAATATTTACTACAGATAGAAGAAGTTCAAATGAACATTGTTAAAATGCAGGTTTTTGTTGTTTGCAGTGAGTTCTTCCAGTTAAACAGGAATCTCATTCATGTCAATGGAGAATTGGGAAAAGTTTTGCATTTTAAATATGACATAAAGTCAGTTGATTTCTGTAAAATGTTCTATTTTCATGTGCAACAAGTCAACGCTGATGCTCTGGAGGCTTTAAAACTGCTTTATCAAAGTTCAAAGTTCATATATAAAGTAGAAAAAATACTGAGGCACTCAAAAAGTACAAGATGATACTATGTATCTTTCTATGTACTGGTTGTTGGGATTTGTACTATTTATATCTTGTATTATATTTGAACTTAAATAGCTTGTAACTAAAGTCTGTTCAGTCTACATGTCCCATCATGCACCAGGGGACTGTGAACCAACCCACTGTGAACATGTGACCTCCACCTATAACTTTAAATGTGCACTGTGATCTCCATCTGCAGTTCGCCCTGATGAAGGCCGAAGGGTTGAAACACGTTGTTGTGATTTTAACTTTATCTGCCATGTGCTATTAAAGACTTTTAATCATTTGTACTTTTTGAGTGCTTCAGTTTTTTGTACTTTGTATTTGAGACTGGTCCCTTCACTGAAGACACCAAAAGGACAATTCTGCACATTTTTTGTATCCAAGTAGCTTTCCTGCCCCAAAGTTTTACAAAGTTCATAGTTTGCTTTATTATAAATTCTTCACATGTACTGATCATACAAAGAAATCAAAATTACATTTCTCTGTCACATTTGTAGACAAGACCAGACAAATATTAAATGACAACATTTATGGGCCCGGTCAAGCAGAAGTAAACAACAGCAAGGCCAAAAATTCAAGTTAATGCATCTGATATAAAAATGTATTCAACAGATACATATGTACTCTAGTTTATGAAACAGTTTTTTTCTGTACCATTTTTAGTTCTAAAGTTCCATATGTTTTAAACAGACCATGTATGAAACATGGAACAAAAATTATTTCCCAAATTTCAAAGACCTGCAAATCATGTCAATAAATGGATGTATTTCATCATATCTTGTGTTATTCCATCTTTGAACTGTTGATGAAGGTACATGATTTTTCAAAAAACATGTATTTAAAATGTTAAAAGGAAGGACTGACATATTTTATAGAAATAGTTTCCTTTCATTTTGAAGTAATATTAAAGTATTCGGAAGAAAAAAGCGACAAACGATGTAAAATCCTGCACCTTCTACTTGTTTGCACAATTTTCCCTCCGTTACTTTTCCCTCCGTTACCATGACCTTTCTTAATAAAAAATCTCATGACTCAAAAAGTAACAGGTTTTTCAATCTAATCTTGTACCATATGGTAGAAAACTATATGAAGCAAATCTTCAAACCAGTTTGTTATGGATATGTAAGTGAGAACCGCTAGTTATCACTGTTTGGATTTATTGACCAAAATATGCTGCATATTTCATTCCCTCCGTTACCGACATTAGTTTTTAAATTTTTTGTCAACAACGTGAAAGAATATCACAGGTTTAACTTTACCTTGTTGGAGTGTAACTCTTTCATACATTACCTTACTTATTTCAATAGTCCCTCTAGTTTCTGAATAAGAGCTATTTGAATGTAAAAAATCTGCCCGTTTCCCTCCGTTACTACTTGATTGGACCCTTATGTGAACAGACACAACAAATGACATCATCTCTAACCACTACAGTGACCATAAATAAATAAAGATAAAAAACACTAGTGTACAGTGCAGTTCAAGTTCCTCACAGGTGTTCCAATCAGTGAGAAAAGGTAGGGGGCGCTAGAGGGTGCTCTTGGAAAAAAAAACTAAAAAAAATTTGACAATGAAATCCAGGCGCTCCAAAGAAGTAAATGTTGCAGGAGGAAAAGTAGAGTTAAAAGGTCTTTATTTAAAGGGGCAAAGCCAACATGTTTCATCAGAGCTTAGTTCAAAATGTAAGGCATGAGCGTGGCTTTTAAAATACACAGCAACAAACGGCAGGGACAGATGTTGATTAGAGGTAAACAGGACAGCTGCAAGACATACAGCACAAGACATGGCACAGGCAAAAAAGAAATCGGTACAAATAAATACACACACACACACAGATGTCTGTGTGTGTGTGTGTGTGTGTATCTTTTTAATACAAATACAAATAATGAAAAAAAAAGTAATTTGTAAAAATATATTTATAAAAAGTATTTATAAAAAAGCAAGACAAAGTCCTCCTTCACACCAGGATGTTCACATGCTCTTAATTTATGAATCCAGAAAGCTTCTCTCTGATTTCATTTCTGAAGTCTATCTCCACCTCTTGCCACCTCCAGTGGTTTCACATGTTCACTGAAGGTATTGAACAGCTGCTATTATGATTTCAGATCAAGTATTAGGAGCAGTAATAAAAGCAGCAGATAGTTTAGTGCAGAACAGAAGGCACTTTTTTATGTGGCTCTAGTGCAAATGGTAAATAGTACAAAAGGCAAATAGTACAAGACAATAAAAAAACAACTGTCTCTTGTCCCTTATCTGAGAGGATGTCAACATTGTATGAAACATGAAAGTATCAAAAGGTTGTGAAGGATTGTGTATCTTTTATTTATTAAACACTACATCATTATAGTAATTACTGTGACAGGCCTGAACCATATTTTCCAAATGTATCAGACTTTTATGATCAGATCTTTGTTTATCTTTTAGATGACACACTGAGCAATTACGAAATCACTTCTCTCCCGCCTCTGTGCCTTACCTTTGACCTGCCTGAGGATTACCCATCATGCTCTCCTCCTGCCTTCATGCTCAGCTGCTCCTGGCTCACCCCAAAGCAGGTACAGAACTTACCACAATATTCCAGTGAGTAATGCTCTGTTTAAGTTCTGTTTCTTTAAAATGTTGCAGTGGTGCTGGTGTCTGGGCTTTTTGTCAAGGCCGTTAAGGGTCAGTTTGTAAAATGAACAGAGGTTTCAGTGTGGATGAGGAGGCCTGGGACCACAAGGTGATACAATAAGATCGATGCGCGAAGATCATTGCATTCATGAGTAGTTTTGAAGTCTGGAGCGTTAGATCTTTACGTATAAAACGAAAGTAATTGAGAATAATTTTAATATTCTCCGCTAAGAATTTTGTGTGACTGATAAAATTTGACATTTTCATTCAGTATGAGGCCAAGGTTTTAAACTTTATTCACAATGAGAACATTCAAACAGCCAACAGTCACTTCAAAGTCACAGTTTTTTTGTTTGTGTACACACCGAAAAACAAAGAGAAACAATTTTTTTGTTTTTTTACATTCAAAGTCAAATGTGACCCTCTAAGTCATTCTGAGACGTGCTGTGAGGCCGGACTCAGATGTTCACCAGCCTGAGCAGCTGTTTTTGCAAATCCATACAACACAGTATCATCAGCATACATTTAGGTTTCATATGTTTTTATTCATGTGCAAACACATATAGATATGTCATTCAAACAACACGTACACACACTGTTTTTCATTTTTATGCAGATAAAACATAACTTGTAAAGTTAACTAACAAAAACAAATCAGTCAAGAAACATGAGTAGCGTCATACAATATAATAGTAATAGAATGATAAAAAATATACTACTACTAATATGAATAAATAAATAAATATAAAAATAAATAATAAATTAATTAAATTAAAATGAATTAAAATTTAATACATTAAAAATGAATTAAAATTAAATAAAGTAAATTTTAATTAAATTAAAATTTAAGAGTGAGAGAAGTCTTCTGGAAGACCAAAGATAGCTACATACAAAGAAACATTGTTTTTGACAACACCTTGGACAACGTATTAAAGTAAATCTGCCAAAGGTCGTCAAGGCTGGGCAAAGAAAAAACATATGTGTGAGATTACAAGGTCACACACCCCACACCTGTCACAAACATCCACAACAGAGGGAAAGATCTGGGTTAGTCTTGTTTGTGAATAATGACATCTGAACAGAACTTTAAACTGTATTAAAGTCAGACAGGCACAAATGGTAAATAAAAACAAATACATTTTTTTTTATCAACTTTTATTTTTTATTGAAATGCTGCTTAATCACACTAAATCAATGACTGTACATTCATGAGTTCTGTAATTCTTGAAATAATCACGAGTACAGTTTGCATACGATACATACATAGTCACAATCCAAGTTTTTTTTTTTTTTTTAAACAAAAACAAAAAAAAAACAACAACAACCTCCCACCCCAGTCCAAAGCTTCACCCAAGAAAAGGTCTGCTACAAAGTTGTTGGGAGACGCATGATGAAAACATGCCATAGGGTAATTGTGTCACTCTTGGCCCTGTGCACCCTGGCTATAGAAAATTCTGACTGGGCAATATCCAGAAACATTAACGACCAAGCATGGATAGATAAACCATTTTCTTAGCTGCCGTGAGGCCTGACAACAAGATCCTTCATTTGGCCACTTTAAGTTTGACCTGTGAGAGATTATTTAATATCAACACGTCCGGTGAACAGGGTACTAGAACATCAAATGGTAAAGAAAGTTTACATGAAACCTGCCTCTAGAAATCCCTCCCAAAACATATGTTTAAATGTGCCAATGTGACTTAAAGAGCATAATTTACATAAGGAATCTGTAATTCTCTTCATAACATACAGTTTTTTGGGAGTTAAATATAACCGATGTGCACAATTATAATGGATTTGTTGGTGATCAGGATTCCTGGAGGACAGGCTAATACTCTCCCACACCTCGTCCCAGTCCAATACAGGGGACAAATGGGACTCTTATGAATGAGCTGTAATGCGGAGCTCCACCAGTGTCCATCAAAAACTAGACCCAGCTCATCATCAGTGTACATTTGAACATTAACAGTAGGACAGCACTGAGGGAGGTCACTAATATACACGGAACTTTCTGTGCAAAGCAATAACATCTACAGGTGGTGGTCAGGTTTGTATTGTTTCGTCACCTCATGCACGCCTCACTGTATCATATAAAAACTATACTCGTGCACTTATTCTTTTTATTTTCTAATGTTCTCTTTTGTTTCCTCAGCTGTCCTCACTCACTGCTCATCTCACTGACCTGTACCAGACCACAGGGGGCGCTGTTGTGCTTTTCTCCTGGGCCCAGTTCCTCAAATATGAGACTTTAGGCTTTCTCGGAATCACTGACATACTGGAGATAGATTCAGATGGAGTAAATGGATCTAACTTGGGTAAATCTGATGATAAAGACTTGAGTTTGGAAGAAAACAAATTAAAAACTGCATCTGCTATAAACTTTGATGGAAGAGTTCCAGAGGTTGCCAGATTGGAAGCTCAGATCACTGATATGTTGGAAATACCCTCAGATGAATCCAGTACAAACTTGGACAAATCTGATGAAAAAGATTTGACTTTGGAGGAATCTGCTGCAAACTGGGATGGAGGAGGCTCAGAGGTTGCCAGATTGGAGGCACAAATTCCTCTTTCTCTTACTCCGGGACAAAAGCTCATGTCCCAGCTGTTGATCCATGACGCTGCTCAGAAAGAGAAGGCGTTTTTCAAAGAGCAGTTTGAATGCGGAGTCTGCTTTGAGAGTTGGCTCGGCTCGGAGTGCGTTCAGATCATCGAATGTGGCCATGTTTTTTGTCGTCGTTGTCTCGCAGACTTTTGTAAATTTCAAATCCAAAATGGAAAAGTGACAGATGTGACGTGTGCGCAGACTGACTGCAAAGCTACCCCCACACCGGCACAGGTTAGTGCTGTCACCATACTCACATTTTAAACTCCATTTCAAACTAACGAAAAGTCAAAATACTAATTTTGATACCACAATGTTCAAGAAATGTCAAATTCTGTCATGCTTATGGGAAATTTTCAGTTTTGATGCATGCTTGTCTCCATGGAGATGTTACTGCTTTGTCTAGAATGTAAAACTGACTCTCACAGAATCAATTTTATTATTTTCTCAGGGTTTGTATGAGTCCAGTCTGTTCTAGAGTTAATTTAACATTTTAGGAAATGTTAACTTAGTAAGACTGGCCCAAAGTTCCTGTTTAACCCCGAAATCAAGAGTTATATTAATATTTTGAGAGTAAACAGATAACACTTTATAGGGTTATACTAAGTTAGCTAAACAACACACAGAGGTGTTTTATTTTTATACTTTATTTTAGCTAATTTAAGATGAAATTTTGAACAAAACTGGTTCAAACTTTTTTTTTTTTTTTTTTTTTTCACAGGAGTTTGAAGTGGTGGGTGGGAGGAGCCAAATTAACACTAAGGGAAAATTTATGGATTAAAGGGACAGTCCAGAATTTTGGACATACGACCTCATTTCCTAGTGAGCCAGAGTGTTGGAGACGTGTGGAGACACTTTTTGAAATATTCCATCCAGTCCTTGTATTTGCAGAGGTCGCTGGTGCTAGACTAGTGCATGTCAATGGTCATAGTTCTCCTGCCACTAAAAACAGTCTTACCCACTCCACAAAACACCCGACTGTCCATGTGAATGTCTGTGTTGATAGAATAATTTTAGAAGTAAAACCAACCTTGTATTTGAAGGATTTCTGTCTGAGCAGCAGCAGTGAGTTGTACTTCCTGATAGAAAGCTTGGCAGCGGCGGACTGATATCACCGAGCACCTATCTTACTGGCAAAGTAAAATACCACTGCTGCTGAGAAAATAGTTCCTCAACATGCAACAATTCATGCGATGCAAGGTTAGTTTTATTTCAAACATTATTCTATCGACACAGACATTTACATGGACAGTCTGGTGTAATAATAGATTTGTTTGGGGTGTTTTGTGGAGTGGGTAGAGGAGTGGCAGAAACAGAGAACTATGGCCATTGACATGCACTAGTCTAACAGCGACCTCTGCAAATACAAGGACTGGATGGAATATTTTAAAAAGTGTCTCCACACGTCTCCAACACTCTGGACTTCATTACCTAGTGAGCCAATGTCCAAAATTCCAGACTGTCTGCCTGTTTAACACTCGGGGAAGTTGACTTAACTTCAACCATATCAACTCTGGCAAGTAACCCCAACTCCAACCCCCATTTAACTTTCAAATTGTTAAAATAACACTTTTTGTGTTTAAAAACAAAAAAAATTACCCTGAAATTTTAGTCCAGTGAGGTTCATTTGGTCTTTTTTCAGAACAAGAGTTTGTTTTCATCCCTGATGGTTTGGACTGCTCCTTGCGCTCTTCCTCAGAATGGTCACGTGATTTGGCTGTGGTTTCATACTATGCCCTTTTACGGAGGAATAGTACAGAACCAATAAGAAAAAAAAAAAAGCACCTCCACGACATCAGCACATAGTCAAAACACAGTACAGATGACTAGACTTGCAACCAGGGAGGGTAGGGAATTTGAGTTGACCTAATGTAGGCAAGCAGCCATCCGGATCCTGCAGCCACGTGGCGCTGGATACAACAGACTCGCCCACCATGCTGTTTGGGTCAAAGCTGCGAAGGCATAAACATTCTAGACAAAGCAAAAATATCTCCACAGAGACAAGCAGATGACAGACCCTCCACCAGAAAGGTTTACAGTGCACCTTTAATCATTAATTGTAATAACTCCTTATATTTGTAATGCTCTTTACAGTCAAAGCCTCTCAGAAGGTCCATCCACAGGCCTTGATGTTGGGGAACCACTGCTCCACCAATGCGCCACTGTCGTCTCTAATTTATTTTCATTTTTTTAGGTGAGGAGTCTTGTCGGTGAAGAGCTGTTCAGCCGCTACGACCGCCTCCTGCTTCAGTCCACTCTCGAATCTATGCCTGGTAAAATACTCAAAATTTTGCATATCTAAAAAAAAAATCATTTCGATATCCAAATCCAAATCCACTTTATTTTTATAGCACATTTTACAAATAAAACCAAAGTGCTGCACAGAGATCATAAAATGAAGACAACCAAAATGTAAATTGCTAAAATGTGGTTGTACTAGTCCTCAAACAATAAAACCTGTCAAATAAAAGCAAAACCATAAAAATCATAAAATAGCAGTAAATAAGTCAAATAAATAAAAGCCAGAGAATAAAAGTGGGTCTTAAGACAAGACTTAAAACTCTCCACTGTGGGGGCTGTTGGGACATGGGGAGGGCAGAGTGTTCCAGGGTTTGGGGCTGAACACAGAGAAGGTCCTGTCTCCCCTGATTTTAAGTCTCGTTTTAGGTCCCACGAGGTGGAGCTGGCCCTCAGACCTCAGAGCGCGCAGTGGAGTAAATTTGAATGAGGTCTGAGATGTTGACACAGGGCCAGTCCATTCAAAGCTTTAAAAACAAACAATGAAATCTTAAAATCAATTAGTATCCTTGTTCCTTTGTACCTCCCTCCTCTTGACTCTCTTCTGCTGTGTGTGTGTTTGTGTCAGATGTGGTGTACTGCCCCCGGCCCTCCTGTGCCTCTCCTGTCCTCTCAGACTCCAACTCCATGGCCCAGTGCTCCGTCTGCAGCTTCGCCTTCTGTGTCCTCTGTAACAAAACCTACCACGGCTCTGAGCCCTGCTACACCCCCACCCCCCCCGAAGACGAGAGGCAACAGGGGCCCCATGAAGCCTACGTACAGATCCCAGAGACAAAAGGTGCGTTCTGCTGTTTGAACGGAATTGAAAAATAGTGGAAGGCGAAGGTGATGGGCAGTATTGATACACAGACAAGACAAAAAAGGTAACCCTTGACCGCCTAAGAAATCTTCAGTGAACATTTTGTGCCAACAAAACAAAATCCCGATCCCTCACTCAACCTTGATTACAAATTTAAAATGTCAACACCAAAGCAATAGGCACTGGCTGTTCGCCTAGAAACACCTTCCACTACAAAGCGACCAAGACGTGATGTTGCTATAAAGCCAGTCCAACAAGAAAGTGCAGCTCAGTCTGTTTGTCTTCTGTACCTCTTGTTTAACAAACAGGATTTTGCTTTGTTAGTTCTCCACATACAAAATGTTTGACGCAAACTCGGGATGATTTCTTATAGAGGGCTCAGGGCCTTCAAGGTAGGAAAGCCCAAGAAAAAAAATATTGAAATAATTTTTGTACTACTAATATATTTTTTCAGTATTTTTATTCAGTGAGTAATAAACACTACACTAGTAATAATTTCTAGATCATTGTTAAAAACTTGGACTAATATTTCTTGGGAAACAAAGGGTTAATATAATGGAATGGAAATGGAACAATCACAATTTTTCTTCCAATGGTATCTGGGTAAATCAGTGACTCCCCCTGCAGGCACTGAACTAAAGAAAACCTGCAGGGCCTTCGCCTTCCTGTAGTGAAGGCCTGTGCAATACAAGGCAATATGGGTATGAGTTTGAGATTGACAGTTGTCTTAGCCAATCATATTTTACTGAGTTATGGGCAGGATCATATTACGACATCTTCCGGGCCGGGCTCTTTGCTCTCTCTGTCCCACCCTAACTCTCCACTGGTGGCATGTTACTGCTACAGGCTAATGCATGGGTAACAACAGAGCCGTGTGCTACAGGAGTTATTGCGAGTTCAACTTCAAGTCAAAGTGTGTTCGCAAGAAAAGAAGCATTAAGCTGAAATGAGTGCAATTGGCCGCGGTGTTATGCTGCAGGTCTTATT